GTGTGTGTGTGTGTGTGTGTGTGTGTGTGTGTGTGTGTGTGTGTGTGTGTGATTAACCAGCTTGTCTGCATGCGCTGTGGCTTTTGCAGTGAACAGTCTGTCAACTCCGCCCCAGTCTCCAAGCTCCTCCTCCTCTCCCCCGCCTCCACCCTCCCCCCCACAGCTGACGGACGGATCGCACTTCATGTGTGTGTGAGAGGAGAGACGGACGAGTAAGACACACACACGACAGCAGTCTGCCTCGCTTCACCACAGACGTCACTGCGTTTGTTTTAATCGTGTTTTTATGCAGTGGTCTCAGTAAGTGTTTGTAATGACTCTCCTCATAAAATCAGTCCGAGCGTTTCATACCAGCTTACAGGAGTCGTTTTCTGAAGGGTTTTACTGCATCATAAATACAAGTGTGTGTGTGTAATATGTCTGTTCTCGGGGGAAATGAAGGATCCTCTCAAATGAAGCAGTAATTAGCCTTCCAACTAGAGTTCATTAGCTTCATAGAGTCTCAGTGAGCATAAAGCTTCACTAATTAACAGTGCAATTAAGAGTCGTTCAGACACCGCTGCACATGACAACACACTCATATATATATATATATATATATTTATATATATAGTTAGCATATAATATCTAGTTAGCATCATACATCGGGCGTTTCATACAGTATGATATAGTGAGAATATGGAGCTCAAAAACAGGTCAGTTTTATTAAAAAATCTGCAAATTTGGTGCAGATGCTGATATTTCTGTCGACAATATAAACATTGTTTGTTATGATTTGTATTACTTGCATGAACGCATGCCTTTTAATTGCTGTTCTGTGGAACGGAGCGGTTTTTACATTTTTTTTTGTCATTAAGTGAAGCCAATTAAATACAAAGGCAATTTGTGTTACTTAATGAAAACAACTCTTGTGCTGTGATGTAGATACAACAATTCATGCATTTTCACTTCCAAAAAGTCTTCTTGACTGCATCAAGATCACAAAGAAATGTCCGAGTCATATTTGTCTCCAAAATCAAAAGAAAAACATGAGGTATAATTTGCATAAACTAAACCAAGTCATGAAAATCATCCCATTTGGATGCCATTTTTTTAATGAAAATCGGCATGAATTAAATTCAGTTTTCAACAAATACTAGCATAATGTATTTTTATATATTAATGTACTTTCATTGCAATAAAAATTTATTTTTTAATTTAGTAATTCGATTTTTTTTTTTTTTTTTGCATTTCAGTAACAAGATTGTGAAGGAAATGTGCTTAATTTCCTGGAAATTAATGTGCATATATATATACTTATATATTTATATATACATACAGTGTGTGTATATATATATATATATATATATATAAAATAAACAAATCTTAGCGTTCCATTTGTCTTGAAACAAATGTTTTTTGGGATCAAATATGACATGACCAGGATTTTTTTCTTGGTCTTTGAGATTTATTTAGATATGGACATGTTAATGTATCTTAAATATAAGTGTGTAAAATATTGTTCTGTGTGTCCAGCAGCCCCTCCACCGACATCAGTGAAGCATGTGAGAGGACGTCCCGCCGTGAGCCACACACATCATCAGACAGACAGGAAGTGCCACCCATCAGCTGACCGCCACACAGCGACGTCCAGGCCTTAGTTCAGCCTTAGTTCAAACGATTCATTTATAGTGATTATTATTTATATTCCTATTGTTCTCTTGAGTTTTCCTGAAGCATCTGTAGATCCCAGAGTTGAGTTGAGTTGTGTTTGATTGGGTGTGCAGACGCGTCTGAGGTGCTATCAATCCCTCGCTGATGTACATTACAGCACCCAGACTCACTGTCAACAGGAAGTGGAGCGTAAAGCCCATAAACCCGCTTGTTTTATTCAGACTGCCGAGGGTTGCGTTCATCATTTGCTTGTTTTTATATGGATTTTAATCAATCGCTCCCAGTTTTATCTTGGTGTTGGTCGATGGGATTTTTAGTACTCATATCTTTTGCACTGTACGACACCCACGATCGTTTCTTTTTTGATATCAGACGATTTATGTATAAACAATGTACAACTATGAACATTCAATAAGGTGGCACCATACTGCTGCCGATGGACAGGGTTTGTAAATGATCTGTATGTTGGATAGTCCGCAATAGCCCACCACACTGTTTCCCGACACACTCATGAATGTTCCAGCTTATGTTTTATTTTTCTATGGCTAAGATATATTTAACTAGAGAGATGAGTACAGAGTATTAGAGTTTTAAGAAACGTATTCCAGAGGTTGGCTGTAGTTTGAGGAGAACAGCACACGAGGAGCAAGCGTTTAAAACAGTTGATAAAGCAATAAGCAGGGTTTGGTGTTCAACTTTGATGTATAAACTGTAAAGTTCATGATGTATATACCGTACACCATACAATGAGCAGAGCAGAGTTCATGCAATATGCAAATGTTCATATTTCATCTGTTTTATATCGTGAAATAAATGTTGATGTTCTTATATATACAAATAGCTTTCGATTCCTTTTTTCCATCTGATTATTGGAGTTCACACCTCGCGCGAATGTGTTTTCAAGCACTACTGTTTATTAATGAATTTAAAATATATATGTGTGTGTGTATATATATATACATACATACATTAAGTTTGATTGACAAGCAAGTTTTATATAGTTTAATTTTATAAAAAATATATAATGCACTTATGTACATATACATAAATAAATAAATTATACATAAATTATTTATATATTTTCTTCATTATTAAATTTATAATAGGCATTTTGGTTAACTTAAAATTATGAAAAATATATAATTTTTATATAACAAAATTTAAAAATTCTATATAAATTGTATATAATTGTGACACGTAAAAACAATTATCATTTTATACTGCTATATAAAAAATATGTACTTTAGGTGTATACTGTGTGTAAGCATTTTAATGAACTTTAAAATATATAAAAAACGAATTGTATTAATATTGTAAAGTACATCTATGTTCAAATATATAAAGTTATATATAAATTATGTATTTTCTATATGCATTTTGATTAACTTGATTATTTAAAAAAAAAAATTATAACAAAAGTAGAAAAAATATTAGAATGCGCTTTATTTTATTTACTATATTTACTTTTTATTTTGATTAACTTAATTTTATAATTTGATATTGGAAAAAAACATAATAGTACAATGTACTTTAGGTATCATTTAGTTATTTATATATATATGTATACACACATCCAGGTGTCGGCTACAGTGCACACCTTTTAGATTTTTGATATTTATTCAAACTGTCAAATCATCTGTAAAATTGCTATTTTCACTACTGTAAATGGGCTCATACACAAAATATGTCATCATTTAAAGCTCAACAACATTTGAAGAGAATAATTTACAGTCATAAAACAAACTGTAAAAGCCAACTTTATGCCGGACAGGAATCCTTTGTTTTCAAGATACTATCAGGTAATCAAATGTGACCAGTATTGACATTTACATTTATTAACGCATTCATGTCATGCAGAGAAACTTCCATCAAAGCGAATGACAGTGAAGGGTGGGACTTTTAGTTAACTCGACACTTAATCAGGTGTGTTGTCACCATCTGCTGGTTTGATGAACACAGTGAAGACCCCAGAAGCAGGAAACTGACGCCGTCTAGTGCTGCTTTCCAGGAAGGGGCGTTTTAAAGGCCAGAAAGGTTCGTCTGACTCATTTTATTTTCAGTTTTGAACTAGATTCGTGTGATAATGGGGTCAATTATGAATCTGGAAACCCCCCACCTGAGACACACGAGAAAAGCTGCAGAGAAAACGTTCTAACCCAACAATAAGACCGGAATAACAGAAAAAGTTGTATTTATTTATAAATGCATAACAATAAACCTATGCTATATATATAGCCTATGTTATAGCAATAGGCAAATATTTCTACAAACATTTTTATTAAATGTCACGTGGTGTGTAACTATCAAATACATCAATCGTGAATACATGTGAGTGAACAACTTAAACATTATTTTAAATACATTTTCCAAAGGAAATATAAAATATGTATCATATTTAACTAGTAGAATCGCTTTCTTTATTGTGTTTTAGGAAATAATAATAATAATAATAATACAAATGTTAAATGCCAACATGTTTTATCAAGAATGTCAGTCTTTTAATAAACGTTTTTACACCACTTTTTAAATGTAATTCGATAAATACCTGTTTCAAAGTATCTCAAGTATGAATTAATAAATGTTTAATATTTGAATTCAGCCAGATTTTCGAAGAAACTTTCCCAAATAACTAAGGAATTTCGTATTTGCAACGAAATATATATTTAGTGTTGTAGAACACCATTATTCCTGTATTTGACTTCTTAAAGAGATGGAAATAAATGAATATTAAATGAGTTTGAAATGAAGGCCTCCTTCTGAATGAACATAGGCGAGATTACAGTGTCATTTCGCCATTTGGGTTTTGTAATGGAAACTTTTCGACTTGATCTTGCATATTCAGGGATGCGAGCATAGTTGCCAAATCCGCGTATTATACGCGACTTTGGGCTTCTTGTTTTGTAAAGTTGCGTGAAAAAATCCCGGGTTGCGGTTTTTTGGGCTTCTTTTAAAAAATATGGTTGCTTGTTAGGGAAATCTGACAAGCAACTTCGTTTCTTTATTTATGTTCGCCGTATTCTCCAATGCATTGGTTGACACTCAACACTCAGTTAACAGCCAACCAGTGCAATAATATAAGTGCTGCACATGTCCTCACTTTGTTGCAGTTTGCTGATTTGTGTAACATAACATATCTGTTTTTGCTTTTCAGATAAAAGAGTGGTTTCAGTTTAATGTGTTGCAGGTTCGTTTATTGGTAATAAATAATTGATCATAAGTAATATTGATGACAAAAAAATATTGGGCTTGTTTTTTAAGCTGCCGTTGCTTATTTATCTTGCGAGAGTTGGCAACAGTGGTTGCGAGCACGTGGAGGCATTCATAATAAGCGCCGACGTCACGCTGGCTCCTCCCCCCGCTCCTCCCAGATCAGCCTCCAGCGGTTCCACGGTCCGTCCTGTCGCTGAAAGTCTCCGCGTTTCACCCGTTTCCCGTCGCTTAAACCCGGCCAGACCGCGCGCACACGAGCGGAACCCGATGGCTTCGACGACTTCCGACGGTTCCGAGCAAGAGTCGCCGAACCCGAGCGAACAAAACGGCGACGGGAGCGAGTCGGGCCTACGCGCCGCCGATCCGGAACCGGCCGTTAAGATGGAGACGGACGAGAAGCCCAACAGACAAGAGTCTACAGAACAAAGCCCGGAGGAGGCCACGCGGGGAGACGGCGAGACCGAAGCGGAGCCGCAGAAGAGCCCCGGCAGCGCGGACGGGACGGCGGAGCGGATGAAGAGAGAACAAAGGGAGGAGGAGAACGCGCCCTCACCGGCGGAGAAAAACAGCGGCGGCGGCGGAGGAATAAAGAGGCGCGCGAGTCTGGAGATGATGAGCCTATCGTCGGACGGAGAGCCGCTCAGCCGCATGGACTCGGAGGACAGGTGCGTGTGCTGCCGCCGATACTTCACCGATAAATATTGATAAATGACGCGTTTATGTGCTGTTTTTATAATTACTCAACTCTCTCAAGCGACAAATGTGCAGACCGAGCCCACAACAAAGATCATTTAGGTCAGAAAGCTACAATAAAAATGGTAGCAATAGCAACAATATTACTAGCAATAATTCCTGTAATATTCATGAGGCATGTTGTATAGATTTATGGTCAATTGTTTACTGTTGACGTAGTTATTTTGGCAAAAAGCAGGAGTGAAACAAATAATATCTGTTCTGCTAATACTTAGTGTAACCATAAAAAAGAAAAATAATATTCATAATGCTTAATTAGTTTTGTCAAAAAGCAGAAATTAAATAATAGCTGTTCAGAAAATACATGGTTTAACCATAAAAAAAAATGTATATTCATAAGGCATATATTGTTTAGTCTTAATGTAATTTATTTACTATTAGTAATTTTGTCAAAAGCAGAAATTAAACAAGATCTGTTCTGCAAATACGTGGTCTAACCATAAAGTACAAAAAAAAATCGTAATATTCACAAGACATGTATAGTCTTATGGTCATTTATGTACTGTTAGTTATTTTGTCAAAAAGAAGAACTCAAGTAATATATGTTCTGAAAGTACGTCGTACAAGTACAAAAAAAATCATAATATTCATGGCATGTTGTATAGTCTGGTCATTTTTTATTTATTATCTATTTTGTCAAGAAGCATAAATTAAACGATATCTGTTCTGAAAATACTAAAAAAATCATAAGTCCTATGGTCATTTATTTACTGTTCACTTGTCAAAAAGCAGAACTTAATATCTGTTCTGCTCAGTTGTTGGACACTTGTGTATGTCATAATGCAATGTTTAAAAAATTATATAAGCTACATTTCTGACACATTAGATAAGTTACTTCACATGTAAATAATGTTTATGGGTGGTTTTCTTTAGAAACCCACCAATTGTGTCAAAAAGCAGAAATAAAACCATTAAAATTGGTTTTGCATATCAAACACTTGAACATCAGTATACATTTGTATTGGTGATGAAATTACATCGATCTGTTTTTAGTGTTTACATTTATAGTACAGCAATCCCAGGTGTATTTTAACCATGAGTCTAATTTGAACTGTCTCTTCAGTAACTAATTAATCGAGGTTAATTCTGTACCATAAAACTCAGAGTGACTCGGTGAACACTAACATTCATTGTACGAAAGAAAGATCCATTGAAAGTGAGATTCAGAGTGAAAGAGAGAGTTAAAGCTTATCTGAATAATTTATCTATCAGGATGAAGCACAGGCACAGCAGTTGTTGGTCGAGAAGTTGATGATGGCCTGTTTTTGCCTTATCAAGTCGAGCGCTTTGCTTTGAACTGGTTTTACGTCATCCGGCCCGCTCGGACCCATGAGACCTTTCGCCATCTTTCCACATCACCAGGGTGACATGGGTGCGGCTGTGCATGTGTTTTATGGCACTTTCTGTTGAGGTGCTGGATATCGTCTGCCTTTATCATGCCAGGGCGCCTCTTTTATTATTTGTCTTGGATTTCTCATCGTCTGTTGTGCTGTAGACGGCCTGGCTCGCAGCACATGGGAAATCTCCATATCCGCAGGCACGGTGGAACAAATTCACGGTGAACAGCACAATGTATCAGGTCAGCCATGGGGAGGAGGCAGGAGTACGAGGAGAATGTGTGTGCGCGGATGGGGATCCCTGCTCTGTGCCAGACGTGCAGCTTTGTGGAGCTTTCGCTGGGAATAAAGCTCTTAAAATCCAAGTGGAGGCCCTGAGTCCGGCTGTTCGGGCAGCTGGAGGGATTGAGCGTAACTTTTGTGCGGGATGTCTGGGAGAGTATGACCCAGACCACACGACAACTGGTGGATGAGACAAGACGTGCCTTTATAGCATAGCTCAGGTCTCCTTTAGAAATGTTCAGATCCACAAGTAGCCCATGTTATTAATCAGAAGCAGGCGCAGATATTATATTCCCAAAGGGATAGTTCACCCAAAAATGAAAACTAATCATTTACTGAACATCAAGGTGATTTTTTTTCTTCTGTTGAACACAAAAGATGTTGGTAACCAAAGAGTTGATGGTAGCCATTGACTTCCATAGTATGTCTTTGCATGTTATGGAAGTCAATGGCTAACATCAACTCTTTGGTTACCAGTATTCTTCAAAATATCATCTTTATTTATTTATTTATAAGAAAGAAGCTCATACAGGTGTGAAATTATATGAGGGTGAGTAAATGACAGAATTTAAATTTTTGGGTGAACTGTCCCTTTAAGTGGCAATAATTGCCCACTGGCATAATTTTCAGCACAACAATGGCATAATTTTCAGTGGTTTTATACTTAACCGGTGACTAATGTCCGGAATGCTGAATCTCTGACAATTTTCAAGCGACAGCTGAAAACTCGTCTCTTTCGAAGCTACTTGACTTCATCATAAAAATAAAAAAAATTCTATCGCTTTACTTATTCCTTCTCTTTCTAGCTTGTACTTATTTGAACAATGTCTAGAAACTTGGTATTACAATTACTTCCTGTATCTGTTTGCCTCTTTAAGAAGAATCGCTTTATGTATCCCCCAATTGTAAGTCGCTTTGGATAAAAGCGTCTGCAAAATGACTAAATGTAATGTAATGTAATGTAAGCGCATCTGATTGGCTATTGCATTCATGCACTCAAACAGATACGTGTGAAATTGGTTACAATGCTGCAAAAACAAAGAAATCTTTGATTGAACGTGTGCAGATCTAAATATAATGATGCAATCGACACTTCATGGACCCTTTTCACAAGACTGTGATGGCGTGTTTAACGGTCATCAACATCGTAAATCCTCAAAAGTTTTTCATATTTGTATTTTTTTTTTTAAATGTATGTACATTTATAACACTATTCTTTGTATTACATCACTTTTGTATCAAATTACAAAAAAACAGTTAACGCTAATGCGAGGGTGTTTCTAATGCAGCGTCTATGGGAGGGACGGTAAATTTGACATCGTTCTCTCTTCTGACAGCCGTTATCAGTCTCTCAATTTTTTTCCTTTTATTGAAAGTCATGAAAACACTATCGTGGAGTTTTTCTTTTGCTGTTTGAGCAAATGGGAATGCAAAAAATATATTTGTGGTACTCTCCCATTCACTGCTATTCAAGTTAACCCAACTATGACGACTTCCGCTGCTGAGAAACTCGAAAATTTGAAAAAGATCCATTCAATTTCACCTTTATCGCAGCAGTCGTAAAAAATGTAGTTTAATTGTACACAGACATTTTTGCCTCCTTATCTTCAATTTGGGGAACATTTTGTGTTCATTAATTTTCAATCCTGATAACAAATCATTTTGATAATTTGTTAAATTGTCAATTAGCACATAGTTTTGCACAAAATTAGTTTCGTGGCGCACAAAAGGAGGTGTTCGGCGAAATGCTTGCACTGTTTGTGGACAGGGTCATATGATAAGCTTCGCATGAGGAACAGACCTAAATTTATGTTGTTATAATCTAAAAATCATCCATATTTGATGCTGATGTGTGCCAGGTGTGCCAGCTTGAATATGTGAAAGTGCAAATGAGTTTTGAGGGGAACTCCATTGGATGTGATGTTTGAGTAAAAGCAGGTGTTAATTATTTGTCCTCTTCTGTCAGTTTTGTCCGTTTTAAAATGAAATCTCTCACAAACATTCATAACGTCTTAGGGCTTTTGTGCATCAGCCTGCAGGACCAAGAAACCCACTTTGTAGTCTGTCAGATGGATACTCTGGCCAGCTGCTTCTGCTTTCAGATTAAAAAAAAAATAAAAAAATGGTGCTAATTTTAGTCAGGTGTCAGACTTTCAAAATGCATGTTCAAAATATTTAGTCATAACTCATACAATAGTAATGCATACCATTCTCAAATATTAGTGCATTTAATGTTAGTATTTAGCATCACTATTACTATTGCTCATACTTGCTGGTATTGATTTGAATAAATCCTTAATGCAAAATATTAGGCTAAAGTTTAGTGCATGCACCGTTTATGTGCATTCTTCAGATAATGTAAAAATCCAGTTGGAGTTTTTTTCAGCATATAGTCGTACCTATGGGTTTTTCAGCTGTAAACACTTATCAGTATCACTTCATCAGTAGTCAGACTGGCAGTTGGAGTTTGTCTCTGTGATTTACCCAGCATCCTGTTCTCTGGCACATCCTGGGATTTAGCGTCAGTTGTGGGCAGTGAAGTCTGAAAGAAACCAACAGATGGAAGTGTGTGCGAGCCCCTCCTCTCCCCTCAGGAGCCATTCAGTCACATTCACTGGAGTTCATGGTGTTTTACTGCGGTAGTTTACCGCTGTCCTCTCAAACACAGCACAGCTGCACGCTCAAAAGATCACTATTACAGCATTTGTGTGCCACAGTTAGGTGGTCGCCCCACTGCACTGGCCTCATTTACCGTTCACAAAGACTCATGGTTGTTAACGTGGGCGCTGCATTGCAGGTTTTATTGCAAAAAAGAATCAAGAAAGATTCTGTAATAGTCGTTCTTAATCAATCACTCCTCATTTGCTTTTTTGTGTTGTACTGCTTATCAATGCCACAGCCTGTCATTTTTAATCTCATTATGTCCATCATTCTTTCTAGTTTCAGTTTTGTGCATGTAGATGATATGATGTTAGTGGATAATCACTACTACAGTGAGATTTAATCCTGAAAACATTGTTAAAAGGGCAACGTTTCCACCTAAAGAAATTACTCATAGTACTTTTGACATTCAAATATCAGTATAAACTCTAAGATCACGGTCCATATCAGGCAGCGAAACACAAACACACATTGGTGCACCTCTAAGCTCAATAGATTTATGAATGACATTTTGGTTTTCTTTGTACAAAATCATTGTTTGTGTGTTTCAGTATCAGCAGTACTATCATGGACATGGAGAGCATTGCTTCCAGCGGTCGTTCTACCCCAGCTATGATGAACGGTCACGGCGGGGCGTCTTCCTCCTCCACTAAGGGCTCATCTTACCCCTGCTACTGGGATCAGTGCCACATGCTGTTCAACAGCAGCCCGGACCTGGCCGAACACATCCGCGGAGTGCACGTGGACGGACAGCGCGGCGGGGTCAGTGTGTGCGAATGCTTGTTTTATGCCCCAAAAAGCATTTACGCCATGTTAAATGTGGCATTGCAGTAGAAGAAAATAAACATTTTTAAAGCAAAGCATTTTACAAAAAAATTTGTTTGGCATGTTTGAAATGTCCAAATGATTTTTGAGACATGTATTAGAGTGAAATTCTTACATTGCTCAATGTTTGCACGCAGGTTTTCGTGTGTCATTGGAAAGGCTGTAAGGTGTATAACACACCGTCCACCAGTCAGAGCTGGCTGCAGAGACACATGCTGTCACACAGTGGAGACAAACCATTCAAGGTCGGCCTCTTTGCACACATGCACAGTAGGGGTGTGAACCTACACTGGTCTCACGGTTCGGTTTGATTACGATTATCATGTCATCGATTCGGTTCAATTCGATATCACGATGCATTGACGACGCACTGCATCCTCAATTTTCAATTGTACTTCACATGTATAGCCTACAATTTTGTCAATAAATACAAGCAGTCAGATATATGATATATGATATGATAGATATAATTTTACCTGCTCAAAGATAACATGCTTCTTGAATGTATAATTTTTGTCTGAGCTCGGTCCACCTTGGCACTGACAGGCGTTAACAGCTCGGTGAAAACGGCTGACGTGGTTTCTCAAGTTAGTGGTATTACCATAGATATATATACAGTATACGTAGATGCCTCATTAGCGACTGTTTCTATGGGCCATAATACGTAAGCCATCTGCCATTTTTGGAACGGTCTGCGAACCGTCGAGTGCAAGTTGACTGTGTGCGTCTACAACAGCAAGTTATATGTATGTATATCTTTGAATATACATTGATTATTATGGTGAATGACGTCAAGTTGACCGTTCCAAAATGGCAGACGCGTCAACGTATCTGGAGTGGTCGAATAGGGCATCTATACATATCTATGGGTATAACCCCCTGCATATTTTATTTGTGCGTGACATGATTTACACACAGCGTGCGTCTTCTCCAGGTTGTGCGTAAAAGCCGAAATGTGCCCAGATGTCGGCTTTTAAAAGTAGTTGGAGCATTTTTAATTACTCGCTTGCGTCTCGCCTCCCTCCGCCATTGTATGCTACCGCGACAAATGACGTCAGAAAAGCGTCAGTACGTTATAATCGTTTATGGTCTATTACTGAACCGATACCGAATCGTCCTCGTCTGCATCACGATGCATCGTAGAAATGATTCATTTTGACACCCCTAATGCACAGATACTTGCAAACAATTTATTTAATTTTTGTTTTGTTTTGTTTAGTTATAATTGATTTAATTAGAATTTATTTTTATTTTTGTTTTTTAGCTTCTGTTTTATTTAATTGTATTCTATTAAATTAGATTTTTTAAAATCTTTTTTTAGTGTCTATTTTAAATGCATTTTATTATCCAAGCTTTTAAAACTACTTCTACTGTTTTTTAAAGTCTAAGTCTTGAAGTCTTACAACTTACAGCTTGTTACACTATTTTAAATATTCAGACTAGGCTTTCTAAAGCCAACATCAAAGTAGTTTGTCTACAAACTTTACTGTTTATTTTCATGTTCTGTTTTGTTTAATTGTTTTTTAATTAATTTTTTATTTGTTCTATTAAGTTTCTATTTTTTTATTGTAGTAACATTTTATTATTATTATTTATTTTACTTATTTTTTTAAACAGAGGTTCTTTAATGCAGTTTTAAAGCGCAACAAATCGTCTTACAGGGTCAGTCTCACACATTAGGTCACATTTCACCAAAATATCTAAATCAGGAAAAAAGTGCATTCATTAAAGGAATCCTGTCTTTTATCTATTTAGATTTTTATGACATTTTTAAGAAAAGTATAAGTTCATACTGTTATACAAAAGTGTAAACCTTGCGTACGGCTGCATTTTTTGTTTATGAGGAAACTTTGTCATCATGGCTAGGCAATGAAAACACTGTCCACAGGACTCATTCTGTAATTATAACCCAGCGTTGCTAAGAGTTCATGTGAGTTGTTTTTTTTATTCACTGTTATTACTCTGACCGATGTCTGTCTCTTTGAAGTGTGTGGTGGGTGGGTGCAATGCCACCTTCGCCTCCCAGGGGGGGCTAGCGCGCCACGTGCCGACCCACTTCAGCTCCCAGAATTCCTCCAAACTCTCAAGCCAAACCAAGGTGAAGGAAGAGTCGCCTTCCAAAGCGGGCATCAACAAACGGAAGAAACTTAAGTACAAACGGCGGCGGTCATTGCGTGAGTGTTAGTGAAATTTCAATCAAAGTTTAATTCTGGGTTCAAAACTCTCGCTTTCTAATTCCAATCTGTTTCCTCCCACCAGCACGACCTCATGACTTTTTTGACGCTCAGACCATGGATGCAATCCGTCATCGCGCCATCTGCCTCAATCTAGCGACTCATATTGAGAGCCAAGGCAAAGGCCACAGCGTTGTGTTTCACAGTACGGTGGGTACCAAGTTACAACAATTAAGCATGCTACTCCTAATATCTGCTGTGCTTAATATGTAAAGCCTGTATTTTACACTTTACAGTGTGTAGAATACCTACATTTATTGGTTCACTATCGATCAAACCACCAAATATTAACACAGTGAGGTCACGTGACAAAACCATGACATACTACTCTTTACTTAACTTTGTATTGCACATTGAATACTGTTTCAAATACTTTTTTGTTTGTAGTATAAACGGTAAGCAGTATCCTAGTACTTGTATATTGATTTATTTTCCCAATCAGTGTCTTCACTATAGAATATATCTTGAGGAAAAATAGTAGGCATGTAGTATATACTGCTTAGTATGCAGTGCACTAGTATCCCATTCCAAATGCAGCCCATGACATTAGAGAATATACTTGTTTATAGACAAACTTGACTAGTTTCTGTTCTAAATGTTTCTTTCTATATGCCATTTCATCAGCATGAACACTTTCCATAGCCACACTTAACATGCTACTATACTAGCATGCTACTCATACTATTTCTGCTGTATGTACGTAGTATGTGAACACTGTACTTTAGACTTTGCATTGTGTAGAATACCTACATTTCTTGACTCATTATCGATCAAATTACCAAATATTACCATAGGTCATGTGACAAAAACATGGCATACTACTGTTTACTGAACTTTGTATTGCATACTGAATACTGTTTCAAGTACTTTTTTGTTTGTAGTATAAACAAAGTAAGCAGTATCCTGGTACTTGTGTATTGATTTCTTTTTCCAATCAGTGTCTTTGCTATAGTGTGTATCCTTGTTTTGTTGAGGAAAAATAGTATGCATCATGTAGTATACACTGCTTAGTATGCAGTGTACTAGTATTCCATTCCAAAAGCAGCTCATGTCACTAGTATAGAGAATAAACTTGTTTTTAGACAAATGTGTCTAGTTTCTGTAATGAATTAGTTTTTTTTTTAATTTCATATGCTAACCATTTCATCAGCATGATCGCTTTTCTTAGCCATTAGTCCTTTCTAAACCACACCGTAGCTCTGAGCTGAAATCAGACTTGCTTGGACTCTCGCGGTCCAGTTAGCCTGGGCCGCTGCTCTTCCTGTGTCTTTAATTAAACGGTTAATGAGCTGCCGCCAGCACACAGGCCCTCCTGTTCACGGCCACAGTCGCCGCCTCGCCTGCTGCTCCCAACACCACATGAAAACCGTCCCATTTAACCAACAAGCACACAGCCAGTATGTAGCATGGAATTAACCTATAAATGAGATCTCATGCATTCCTTCTCATCGTGTGTAATTGAGCAGGTGATCGCCAGGCGGAAGGAGGATTCTGGGAAAGTGAAGGTGCTGCTTCATTGGATGCCAGAGGACATGTGAGTATATGAAAGTGCACTGCTCACCTCAATGCCCTGCACTAAATGTCAGCCATTTGAGTCACGGGCCACTTGAGGGCGGCCTTACGCACTGATGATTCAAAACACACACACACACGTATGACTTGATATATGTGACAGGCTGATGGTTCTGAGGCTCCTTAAGTCACATTAACTGCCTCAAAAACACATACAGACTGATCTATAGCTGACTGTGTAGATATTATTAATCCCAAAGGAGAAGTTTAGCATTTTTCCCTCAAGCGTGTTTGTGTCCCACTGTGCAGAGAGATACATGTGAGCACTGTGCAGAAAGTAGGGCTTGTATATTGTGTACTATGCAGTATATTTTGCATGCTGTTTGCATGTTATAAATTACATTTTTATATATATTTTTACATTTAATAAAAATTATTTTTTAACATTATTTTTATTAGTAATTATTTATAGT